AATTAGATTTGGGCTTAATTTCGTTTAAAAAAAGGTTAGGTGGTTTTTTTCTCACGCAATTTCTCCGTTTTATTAATTTTGTAGACAAAGCACAAATTGTTTCACAACTTCATCAAACTTTTGTGGATCATCTGAATTAGATTTGGTTTCTATTTTTAAGTTGGTTGTTTTGTTATCTTAAGTAGCTCAAGGCTCCTTGCAGTAGCTTTACAATAACACTAGACGCTTCTTAGATTTTCTTTATTGTCCAATACAGCCTCCTAACCATTAGTATCAGTATGATTGCATGAGTAATCTATTAGTAATTTTTGTAGTCCTTTGCACATATTTGCGGGAAAAAAAAACTGATAAAGATGTGATTTAGACTCATATTTTGTCAAAATTACTTGCGTTCCCCATTTTTTTTCAAAATTTTTGTATGCACCCAATTTCTTTCCTTGCCCTTGTTTTTTTAGTATACATAATAACATAATGCGCTGTTGTTTTGACTACGAGTTTTTCTGCAATCAAGGGGGTTGAGAGAATTTTATTCTGTTATAAAGCACTTTTCCACTGCTTCTTAAGCATTCGGAGCTTTAAAAGCGTTATAACTGTTACTTGCAGCGCAGATAACATCAACTTACTAGGCTACTCTTGCCTAGATCCATACATAGGAAGCCTCCACACTTTTACGAGGCATGTCAACTCTTCTTAGGAGTCATGAATTTGTTCAAGAAATATGAGAAGATTTCTTACATTCAACGAGTTAACAATAGTGTTAGATCAATACGCAGATCAGTACAGTGCACAGATCATATTGAGACAAGTTATCGAAAATTTACTCACGACTTTTCTTAGAAGATATCAAAGTCTCTTGAATGCGAACGTGTAGATGTTTTTTCCATTTTACTAGCACTTTTTATTCTTTTGCGTTCTGATTTTATTGATTAGTTTATGGACCCAAATATGTGGGATAAAATAGGAAAACTAAAATTCCTTCTTGTTGTAGCTACCTTTCATACCTTCTTTTCTAAAAGTTCCAAGAGGTTTTGCAACAGTTACGAAAACACTCAAAAACGTTCATTAGGTTTGTTCTCTAATAAACTTGCTACAGAAACATTCATTCGAACGACTGTCATTACTCTTTCCTATCAACTTAGCCAAACTCTTATCAACCAAAAAGCCAAAGGCCAATTCGCCATAATCGTGCGTCACAAAATATGTTTCGTATCGGGAATGACTCAACGGCGATAAAATCGGGAAATTATCAGAGCAATGCATGCATATTTAGCAACGGCATATCTCCGATAGGAAAGTTAACACTCGGAAGTCTTATGTGGTACGAAATGGGCATTTGAACGAAGAGGAATGGAGTAATGTCCGTGTAGGAGATGTAATTCGAATGATGAGCAATCAGTTTGTGGCGGTGAGAGGTCGCACAATGGCTTTGAGGTGGATTTGCTTAAATTTTGAGAGATTTAGGCTGACCTCTTGCTATTGTCAACGTCTGAGCCTCATGGGATCTGCTATATTGAGACAATGGAGCTCGATGGGGAAACGAACCTTAAGACAAGGGGAGCGCTGCCAGAAACAGCCGAAATGGGCGATAATCTCGATGACATCAGCAACTTCCATGGTAAAGAAACTATACATTCCTTCCAGAGTACAGATTTGAGCTTTAATATTTGCAGGTGAAATTGTGTGTGAAGCTCCAAACAATAATTTGAACAAGTTTCAAGGGAAGCTCATATGGCAGGGACATGAATATCCGGTTACCAACGATAATATTCTCTTGCGAGGATGCATTTTGAAGAATACTCGATGGTAAATAGTCATTTACTCAGATTTGAACTTTGTCCTTAACATTTGAGTTTCCAAACATCAATTTTGCAATTTCAATTCCTCAATTTTATTTGAAAAGTACCAGTTTCTTTTTAATTTTTTCATTCCAAATCGTGAACAAAAATGATATAACAAAAATTCAAATCATGGCTAAAGCTAACGTCCAGCTTCTTGGGACTTACAAAAGCTCTCTGCTCCTCACGAGATTTTCGTGGCTATTAAATTTTATTAATTTGACAATGAAATTGTCTATTGCAGGCAAAGACCTTTTCCCGGTTGTCATAACTGCTTCCTCTTTTTTTGTAAATTAAGTTCTTGTGTTTGAGTATT